GGTGGTAGGAATGAAATCAGCAGGGCATGAGGTTGGTTTCATGTATTTATGAATGAGGCAAATGTCTTGGAAATCTACAGGAGTAAAGACAGACCATAACTGAGAGGGAGGGGGTTGGGGGTGGTGGTGGAGGGGGGTAGTAGGGGGGTAGTAGATAGGGTGAAAAACTTGCCCTGGTGTTTCTGATTTTATTCTCAAAGAATGCTAGAAAGTTGTTACAGTCAGACCTTGAGTAAACTGGCATAAGAGGGGCGTGAGGAGAAACAATCTGGTTTATGGTGTCAAACAGGACTTTAGAATTATTTTTGTTTACAGAACAGTTTTGTTTACAGGAGCAGTAACATTAGGCTACAACCAGGGTCCGAAATTAACACTCGCCACTCGCCAAATGCGAGCAAATTGCTCCATTTGGCGAGTAAATTTTTGAGCTCTACCCGCCACCTGGCGAGTAAATGTTTGCACCAAATTAGTTATGTTTATCAGTCATCTTCCATGGATGTCTGATACTCCTCCCGCCTGCATGCAACGTACACAAACGTACGCGAAACGTGAGCACCGCATCCAACGTCATTTCCACCTATCCCATTCAATCAGTTTATCAAGTTAGCAGTTAGCTTCGTGTTAAAAATAACTGTGAAATGTGGCGGTTTTTAACTGGAGTCAGCCAGCCTTCCAAAAGAAAACTCGTCGAACTGGAAGAAAAACCACCAGGACCAGTGGCAACCAGAAGATTTTGTGAAAAGTGGCGAACTGGAGATGGCGGAATCGTGAGACACTGGCTGCATTATGATGGCCACGTAGCGTTGCTGCCTTTCACAGACAACTGTCCCTCGGCATTCTTCAAATATCCAAAAAATGCCCATACTTCCGACTTTGTCTTCTTTGAGGGATAATAAATGTCCCGAGTGCTGCCGTCTCCTCCTGCCATTATTTCAGCTTTAGCTTAAAGAAAGTTTTGGTCGTAAACAACAAAGTGCGCATGTGCCGCCGGCAACTTCAGCAGATTATACGGTGGCTGGTAAGGGTCACTGCGCCTACACAGCAGCCACAGTAATCCATCGAGATAATATATTTTTTTTAATAACAAGACGGTTATTATTATTGTCAACTTTTTTTACCGGGGTTTACTGCTACACCGGTTACCATGACGGCCCCTGACACACTTTCAGATATTCTCATGGTGCAGCTGTGTTCTCCAGAGATCAAGGACTAGGACCCAAATGAGGCTGTAATGCTTTGGCACAAAGACGGTGTCAGAAGCAGGAGGCCAGACTTCATGGACAGAGAAAACAAGGAGTCTGACTAGATTTCAATGAAAGAGTTCATAAAAACATCTCTATAAATAAATAGTAAAAATGACAAAAGAGTTGTTTTTCTTATTAATTGATGTTTTAATTATTTTGTCACTCTGTTTGGAATCAACATAATATAGAATTACATGCTTTAGGTAGATCTAAATCATTTAGAATTTTGGCCGGTAAAAAATATGCTTGGCCGGTAGATTTTCATCATCTACCGGCCAACTTGGCCGGTGAGTATAAAATTTAATTTTGGACCCTGGCTACAACAGCTCACAATAGCCCCTTATGGATCATTACAATATTTTAAAATGATTTTCAGACGTTTATGGTGTTCCATTATACTTCCTAATAACTATATGATGAACTCTACATATATATGTATATATAGTTTATGGATACAATACTCTGTTGAAATACAGGGGATGAAATGAGGTTTAGACCATCACTATGCTCATAAAGATAAACCAACAGAATCAGTAAATTATTAAACATCACTGATGAATTACTTTATTTTTCATGTTGAATTTATTGATCAATCGAAAAAAATTGAGGATCAAATACATCCAATCCAATCCAATTTTATTTATAAAGCGCATTCACAAGGCATTACAACCAAACAAGGCGCAAATCAAATACATCCTTCACAGAGAGGGAAAACATTGTGATGAGGTCTAAAAACCAGATGTGGGCTTGTAAATTCTTTTTAATGGGTTGAATTGCTTCAAGTCGTATCGTGAATTGTATCGAATCGAAAGAAGTTTCAAATCATCAATGAATCGTGAGCCGAGGGTTTCACCGTATTGTTAATATATCGTATCGCTGGTAGTGTATCGAAATACGATTCGAATCGGCCTCACAGGTGGAGATTCACATCCCTACTGTTCATAGGCAGTGGTCTGCTAATGAGTTGTTGGGTGTAGTTTTCATTTAGTCAAACTTTCATTTCTTCTTGTCCAATTAAAACCCAGATTATGCTTATTTTCCATTTCATTAGCAAAACGTTGTTTTGGTGGCAGTTTTTGTTTAATAAGGGAGCAACTACGTAGGAGGTTGATCTGCAGGTTTGATGTTCGTTCACTTTGAACATCAAAGCCTGCTGACAAAGTTTTCCTTTAGTTCAATTTCAAATGAAAGTTTTGAGCAGCTGAATATCTGATTAAAGTGCTTTGTATCACTTTGACACATCAGTAGAACCTGACAGAAAAATCATTGAAGCGAATTTGATTACCATACCTTATATTCAATCTCTACCTAAAATTTAGCTTAGCTAGAAAGTAGAGTAACTTTTTTTTCTGTTTTGTCAAGGGACTAAATGAGATCGTCAATCTGCCTAAAATGAAGTTTGTCAGTACTTTGTTTTTTTACACCTGACAATGTGAAACATTTGTATTAATACACTTATTTATTTTTTTAAGGTCTGTTGGTTCACAGCAATCTAAAATTAGCCTGGAAAGCCATTCTATATATGAGAATATATAGTCTGGCCACGGCCCGTTGATGGTTGTCTTTCAAACGGTCTCTGCATGCTATTGGACAACAAACGTGACATACTCACCACTATGAATTTCAGTCAACAGGGCAGTTCACCATACTCCATCAAAGAAGATGCAAAAACATCATTTTTCTAAATAAAGGACTTAAATACCTCTATCTGCTCTTGACTCAAAGAAAAGCCAAAGTAAAAATAGTCCAAAGTTGATGTCAAAGCTGTCGCCATCTTTGTTTTTAAGTAACATCCCGCCCACCAACAAAGTGCTGTGATTGGCCCACCAAACCAATAGAGTGCTGTTATTGGACCACTATGGAAGGTCAGTCAATGGGGCAGTGCACCATCACATTGTGGAAGATGCAAGGAAGAGGACGAAAATACATAATTTGTCTAAATAAACGAGCTACGATTGGCTAGCCGCGATACTGGCCGAGGCTGCGGATGTTCTAGTGGAGCGTTGCTAGATCGACACTTTGCTTTGGTAAATGATGTTCTAGATTCTAGGCCAATCTAAAACATCATCTAAAAGGTAGAATAACACAAAAAAGATCTGAAGATCAATTCAGGAAGATTATTATAATGTCTCAATTATCAGAAGTAACATTAGTCAGATTAGCATAAAGGTTTGCTGAGGTTACTTGACTATTAGACCGTTACCTTCAAATCCCAACTATCAGGTTTGATTAAATAAGACTTGGAATAAATGGAGAACATTTGGTCTACATATTTAAGCCACAAAATCTCCGTCTCAGAGACTGTTTACTTGATGTGTCTCATCGTGTTCAGCTGCATTATCGAGGAGCCAAAAGTTCTATATAATCCTACAGCTCCATCCGGAACTGGAAACCTGTCTGTTCCCAAAGGAAGTGCTGCATCCAAATGTGAAAATGAGGGGATGGAGTCATCTGTATTGTGGAGGGCAGAAGTCTGATTTTAAGGTTGTTCTGTAAAATAAAAAAACTCTGGTATTTTCAGACGCCAGTTTCTCCACAGTTTTGAGTGTGATGTAATGTTCGCTTATTTAGATGTTGGCCAATACTTTGATTTTTATGCTGTATGGAGCACTAATAACAGGGGAAAAAGTATACTTCCTGAAAATCTTCTCGGTAAATTCATTAAGGAGGCGAGTCTGCATGCAGGTATGCTGTGTGCAGTCCTGATGTATTGAAGTTTCTAAAACATGTTTTTTTCCCCCCAGACACTTGAAATGGTAGCGCGGGTTCTTCCCAGCTGTGAGTCGTTGCTGATTAATTGCAGTGCTGAGTTGATTTTTCTCTTTGAAAGGACAGAACTGTTGGAAGTAGAGGAATTGGAATAGTTTTGGTGGCGGACCTGCAAGGGGCCAAAGCTGGTTTAGTCATTTTAATGCATGGACACGGACCTGTTCCCAAGTCCGCGAGAATACAAATGCGTTTTTAGAAGTGCTTTTGCTGCACTTGAAGGAGACAAAGGAAGCCTCATCTTCTGTACTGCCATAGACAGGAAGTGTAAAACAGTTCAAACTTTATTAACTTTTTCAAACATTTGTTTTTAATACTGGATTTGTGATTTGCATAAAAAAAAAATTTTTTTACCAGAGGTGCAAATTTAGAAGTGATTAACTTTTGAAGTTATTCAGACGGTCTGGTTTGTTGTAGGTATGATTGTAGATGCTAAAGCTCCTCGATTCAGCTTCAGCTCTGCCTTCTGTCTGGGGCAGCAGTAGCTCAGGTGGTAGAGCGGGTTGCCTCATGATCGGAGGGTCATGGGCTCGATTCCAGCTCCCGCCAGGGGTATCCTGCTGTTGTGTCCTTGGGCAAGACACCACCCAACTTGCTTGTGTTAGTGGTGGTCAGAGGGGCCGACGGCACCAAATGGCAGCCTCGCCTCTGTCAGACCTCCCCAGGGCGGCTGTGGCTACAAGTAGCTTACCATCACTAGCAGTGTGTGAATGTGAGTGTGTGAAAAGCATCTTTGGGTGCCTAGAAAAGCGCAATATAAGTTCAATGCATTATTATTATTATTAAAAACAACAGACACACATTTAAACTGACGGTAAATCCAGTATTTTAAAGTTCATTAATTATAGATGGAAGCACTGGCGGCTGCAAGCTAGTAGCTGCTGGTCTCTTCCTGTAGATGGCCTACTTTTTGTCAGGTCTTATTTCATGCTGAAATATTTGTTTGCATCCCTGCATGTTTAATACGTTTTTCTAACTTTGCTTTTATAGCTTCACTGGAAGTGCAGATCACCCCAACGCACGGTGAGATCAGTCTCGGAGAGTCCAAATTCTTCATGTGTGATGGTGAGTTTACCACAAAACTTCACATTTTCAATCATAATTTCCCATTAGGTGACTCAGCAACTAAATACCACAAAAAGCCTTTAGTTTTTTGTTAAATTTATATGTCTTTGAGAATAAATCATGTTTTGTTCATCACGTTTGACTGCTTTAGACTGATTTAAAGAACTTCTCTCTTGTAAACTGCATGTGTGCAGCTTTAGATAAAAGAAGCGTTTTGGGTTAGGGGTAGACGATGTTTACCTGATTTTTAATATATCGGCATCGGCCGATATAACTCCTTAGTAAAGCCAAATTAAAATCAGGCACATCTCCAGGAAGCTCAGTGCTGCTGCAGAATTTGATTTTAATGTATATTTAGGTTCCTGAATAACATCTGCTTAATAAACTGCTTTTAAACTAAAACTTCTGATAATTTACAAGTTTTGTATATTTAATACTTGGTCAGTTTTCTAATTAGTTGGATGAACCTTAGTTAGATGCTTGCTTTTAGAGATTGTGATCAAGTCCCCATCTCTGTGGTTGAAATAAGATGGTCCGAGATGGTACGGCTCCCATCTACCTGAATCCTCTTGCAAAGGCTTACGTCTCGGCCCGGCCACTCCGGTCATCACAGGATCGTCGGCTAGCAGTGCCTACACCACGCTCAGGACAATCCAGACTCTTCTCATGCATCCTTCCACAAATGTGGAATGACCTTCCAAGCACTACCAGAACAGGGGCTTCCTTTTCAATTTTCAAGAAACTCCTGAAGACCCTGCTCTTCAGAGAGCATCTTCTAAGCTAGCACCCTCCCTGCACCCGTCCCCCCTCTCTACTGTCCACTCCTTGTTCCCTCCTCTCCATGACTGATGTCAAGTTGTTGTTATTGTTGTTGTTAGCCTCAAGGGCAACATGCTGATTATCACTTGTAGGTTGCTTTGGACAAAAGCGTCTGCTAAATACATAAATATAAATAAATCAAATTTATAAACTTAAGCCTTTGGGGTCTACAGGAAGATATTATTCCATCTGCTGGCTTTGATGCAAATCAAATCCCTTATAGATGCCCGTTTTCTCATCTGCTGCCTTCCTCTTTCTCCGTGTGTGTTTTAGTTGGAGGTGTTGCCAAGCACATAGACTGGTTTGGCCCAAGTGGGGACAGGATAGAGCCAAACAGACCGGACCTGACGGTAACCCGTAACGATGAGTCATCCTCCACCCTCACGATTTATAAAGCTGGGACCGAAGACGCTGGGACATACAAGTGCGTCGCCACCAACGGAGACCAGCAAGGAGAGGCAACCGTCCAAGTGAAAATGTTCCGTACGTAATCACCTCTTCTCACCCAGGACAGTCAAAGACACGAACATGAAAGGAACAGATTCCTGCTTATTGAACTCGTATTGTATCGACTGCTCAAAGGCAACACATTATTCTTTCTTTTTCAAGTGAGGGTTTTTCATCAATTCAATAAATGGTCGGAAGACCATTAAAGGGCTGTTTAATGATTCTGTCTGTGATGCAGCTCTTGTGAGTGATGGGTTTTATTTCGCTTGAATGCCAAACATCAGCAAATGTCCATGAGAGGAAATCTGTTTCCAAACAAAACTTTTCTTCCATTAGCACATCTACTTTAGGTTTTTATAAGAGATGGCCTTTCATGTTGTTCACAAAATCAGACCAAGGAGCTTTTCCAGTTTGTATTGTAGCTCAGTTAGTAAAGGCTCTGAATAAGTGGACTATTATACTCTCACAGCTCCTTAAAATAGCTACCACCATTGTGAAAGTACGCATAGTCACACCGAACAAATGTGTTTCATTGAGACTAAACGATGTATTGAGTGTTAGATGTTTTTTTTTTTCTGGTTTTATTGCAGAAAGACTCACTTTCACAAACGCTCCCTCTCCTCAAGAGTTTAACGAAGGAGACAACGCCAACATAGTGTGTGATGTTGTCAGCTCACCCCCTCCTACTGTGTTCTGGAAATATAAAGGCACCAAAATACAGATGGAGAAAGATGGTAAGGTAGTTGTGAATGATTTGATTTGGTGACTGAATGTTATTTTTGGGGTTTCAACAGGTAAAACTTGAAAAATCTTAATATGATGCAAAAGTTTATTTATTTCAGTAATTCACTTTAAAGGGACTTTATGGAGTTTTGAAATTTTATGCTCGCGATTGCCCCCTCAGGCCAAAAGCGTAACGGCAGCTTCAATAGGAGGCTCGTGCACGAGGCGCGCATGCTGTACGTGCACACTCCTTAACGTAAATACAGCTGAGACAGTCCCGTGTGTGTGTGTGTGGCCCGGAGGACAGAGGACAGAACGTGCAGCTAATTAATTAAATAATTTGGTTCTGTACCTTTCTCTTCAGCACAGCCGACAAAGGTTTATAATGGGTCTGTCCTCCTGCATGCGCAGATCATTCCCTTCCCTTGCTTGAAAAATTTTTCCAAAATGAAAGTTGAACCCACATCTTTTTTATCTGTGAATTCAATGCCGTTTGGCGAGTCTCAAATAAAAATGTGGGCATCTTACTGTAAAAAAATATACCATTAATGTAAAAAATAAACTCTACATAAATTACATTTACATCAAGAATCGAACCCGGATCTTCTGCACGAGATTCCGACGTTTAACTAGGTGAGCTAAAGCACCAGTAATGTCTATTGTATCTGTAATTTTTATATCCTAGATGAGAGCTGAAACAACGTTCAAAGAACGTTTCAGAGCGAAAATGGCTGTTTTGTTGCTAATTTGCAGGAAATATCTAGAAGAAAGTAGCTAAGGGTCCCTCAGAAATGTAGTTAGGTTCATCACTAGGCGTTAGGAACAGTGACAAAGTCGCTGAGTTGGCACTACCTTTAGGGTCAAGTTTAAAATCCTGATTTTTGTTTTTAAGGCCCTGAACGGTCTGGCACCGGATTACCTGTCGTATCTTGTCACTAGATATGTGCCAAACAGGGCGCTGAGGTCTGCTGATTGCCTGCTGCTTCGTGTTCCATTAATGAAATACAAAACGCGGGGGCAGCGTGCTTTTGTCTATGCTGCTCCGACACTATGGAATGCACTTCCTCTTTCGGTGAGGCTGGCACCATCCCTCCTCCGGTTCAAATCGCTGCTGAAGGCTCACTTTTACGACCAGGCATTTTTAAATCCCTGACTTTTATTATTTTATTATGTGTTTTTTTATTGACTGTAATTATCTGCCTTGTTGTGCATTTTATTGTTGACCGTGTATTGTTTTATATTGTGTTTTTACTTTTTATTCTGTACAGCACTTTGGTCGGCTGCCATGCCGTTTTTAAATGTGCTTTATAAATAAAGATGGTATGGTATGGTATGGTACCTCACTCTCTGCTGCTAAAGCTACTGATAGCAAATGCTACGGGCTATGCCTGAGCGTGAACGTGCATGAAGCAGCCTGCTCGACCTGAGCAACTCTCTTTTTCTGTGATTTTACAGAAAAACAGGCAATCAGTAAAAATGCCAGGGCTCATTCTACAGGACCAGGGCATTGCAGGAGAATGTATGAAGAAGAAATTTATTATTTCTATACATGTTTTGGCTGTCAAACTTCCATAATGCCCCTTAAAAAGGTGAAACTATACATGTCATAGGCTTGCTACATGCAGATATTTCAAGATTTGATGTTATTATTGTGATGATTATGGCTTACAATTTATTAAAAACCCCGCATTCAGAATCTCAGACAATCAGAATGTTGTGAAAAAGTTCAGTACTGTGGGCTCAAAGTCACACTCTAATCCAAACACCTGCAAAAGGTTCCTGAGCCTTTAAATCTATAATGGCAAATTTGGAAAAGAAATTAGCTTAAAAATGTTTTTCATGCCTATTAATAGCATTCTAACATAGTATAACTGTAAATATATTGTGAAGATTAAAGGTGTGTCATGTAGAAATTAAGTAAAAATCACATCTCTCTTTACTTTGTTTTGAAAGGAGAAAAACTGAATCCCCACAGCCAGCTGGATTTGAAATATGTTGACAGTATAACCTTCCTTCCAAAATGACTGAAACAGACTCTTTTGGGATCTTCTCACTGTAAAAGTCTCACTATACTCTTACACACTGCAGCTTTAATGACCCCCCCTACCCCCACCCCCACCCTCCAACAAAAAAAAATTGAGTGGTTCTCTCGCATTGGTCTAAAAACCTCTACCAATAACACATTTCAGACTGAAATTGACCATTGGACCATCAAGTTGTCTTTCTGACTGAACAGCCAAACTTCTGCACTTCCCTAGCCTGGCCTGCCAGACTCGTCCACTGTTCATTTCTACAGAAAGAACTAGTCTGGTTACTCACAGGTAGAGAGCCACATGAAGGGTGGGCCTGGCCAACTAAATATAACCAGAAAAAAGAAGGAAATGCCGAATGTACCGCACAACTCTGTAGTTTTTTAGCTGTAGTAAAAAATGGCGTCTGGCGACGACAAATCTTTATTTATTTATTTTTTTAGAAGAAAGGCGCTGGTTGGCTCGGTTAGAATTCTCAGGGGGTGGGGTTATTTGAATAGGAATGTTACCAGCCCCATGCTTCCCAGTAATAGTCATGGATTAAAAGATTGATAATCTGATTAGGTCGGAAAGAAGTTTAGTTTCTTTTGCACTTGCTGTACAGTTTGGTAAAACCAAATTAATGACCTAATAATTGCAAAATAGGGTGAATCAGAATAAGTAGCGTAATCAGCACTCTTTTCATATACACATTATTAATTAACGATAAATAATTAAAATCTGTTACTTTAGGTAAAAGGTCAATAGCCTATGTAGAGCATACGGCACACAGAAATATTTAAAAGGACACCCAGGCTCCCCAAACGGCTCGTTTCTTCATATCTATGCAGATTTACTAGTGTTAGAAACCTCGAAGAGCTCCTGCTCTGCTGCTCATGCCTCTCTTCTCCAGGGGTTATCTGTGCTTCGAAAGGAGAAATTCATTTTGTTCTGGAATTTGAAAATACTAGTGACTCTTGTTCTCCTGACACTGAGCAATATAAAGACCCTGGTGTTGGTATTGTTTACAAGAAAATAAAACACACACACACACACACATGCGCGCAGGTGGATTGGCACGTTTGTCAGAAGATTATTACATGATTACATTTATTTGGTTTAATCTCTGCCTGAAGGAGTTCTCTCTTTTTTGGAATTCTCACGCTGCTCTGGGTAGTTGCATGTTGGAGTAGCTCTGTTAACTACATGTAAGTTTAGCCTTTTTTGGAAATTTTTTTCTTCTAGCATCTTAAGAAAAACTGTATTTTTTGGACATTTTATTTTTCTGTTTCTGGTGCTGTGAAGCTTAGAAAACTTTTACTGCTATTTTTTCCACCTTGTTCACTTTTTGAGCAGTTGTTATGATGCGTAACCATGGCAACAAGCTGGTTTACAATCGGGAGCAGCTGATTAACATTGGAAAGGCTGAAATAATACCTCAACTGAAGCCACAAATCCCAAATGAACTAAAACGCAAGGAGCGTGGGTGCAGAGCGGGAGCAAAACGGAGACAGAGAAAGAGGAAATTCAAACCATCTCTTCCATCGATCATAATGGGCAATGTGAGATCACTGGCCAACAAGATGGATGAATTCCAAGCCCTTTCAAGGACTCAGCCAGAGTATCGGCAGTGCAGTGTTATGTGTTTCACTGAGACGTGGCTGCAGGACCATATCCCCGATTCCAGCGTCTCTCTGCCAGGATTCGATTCCTGACTGTACGAGCAGACAGATCTGAAGAGGAGCAGGAAAAGAAAAGGAGGTGGAGTGGCAGTGCCTGTCAACAACAGATGGTGCCATCCAGGTCATGTTTCAGTGAAATGTCGTCTCTGCAGCCCAGATGTTGAACTCTTGGCAGTAAGTTGTGGCATACAGGAAGAAGCTGGAGAACAAACTACAGAGGGACAATATCAGAGATGTCTGGTCAGGGATGAAGAAGATCACAGGCTTCAAGCAGAGGAAAGATTGCACAGATGGCAGCCTGGACTAGGGTTGTCACGGTAACTGGTATAGCGGTAAACCCCGGTAAAAAAGTTGACAATAAAAATAACCGTCCAGTTTTTAAAAAACTAAATTATCTCGGTGGGTTTACCGTGGCCGCGGTTTCAGCGCGGTGACCCTTACCAGCCACCGTCGCTTCAGCTGAAGTTCCCGCGGCGCGCACACGCACTTTTTAGTTTGCAACGGCACCAAAACTTTGAAGCTGAAATAATGGCCGAAGGAGGAGACGGCAGCGCCCAGGACATCCATCAGCCCTCAAAGAAAACTAACTCGGAAGTATGGGCATATTTTGGATTTCTGGAAAATGCTGAGGGACAGTTAATAGAAGACTGCTATCCCGTTTGCAGAACGTGCAGGAAACAAGTGTCTGCAAAAGGCAGCAACACTTCGAATCTAATGGCACATCTGCGTGACCATCACCCACGTCTCTACAGCCAGTGCAAGGTAAGATAACATTAGCATTTTAGCTTAAATGCATGATGTGAGGACTTTTGGTTGACGGAGAATGCAACGAGTCACTATATACTGCAGCCGCAGCGTCCTCTGCCAGCATTTAAACCGTGTCACGGACACCCTGTTGCTGGATGAAGCATCTTATTTGTTGATGATGAAGAGAAATATATAATTAGTTCCTTGTCATTGATTTGTTTACTTATTCAATGCCATTTATACTTGAACATTTGGATTTGATTACATAGTGTAGTAGTTATTTTAGTAATTTGTTTAAAGTGGCTTTTTTATTTTAAATACATATTTTTTTAAGGTTGACTTGTACAGTGCTCAAGTCAAGTGTGGACTGGAGTTTTAGATTTTCATTTTGATAATGAAGAAAACAAGTATATGAGAAAACAAGTGGTGTTTCTTTGATTTGTTTACATATTGTTTATGTTTTGAATGTTTGGATTTGTATCATTTAAACCTGCACTGACTACTGTAACACGTTCCAGAAAAAGAAGCTATTTGTTCCTTTACTTGTGAAAAGTTGCACTTTTGCTAAGGCTT